AGTGTCCTGAGTGGGTAGCATCCAGAATTTACTCGAAACGAAGTCATTTAGTATGTTTTTAGAGCATAAACAGTAGTGTATAGGATTTCCTAAAAGCGCGTTCACGAGTCTACGGAAACCGCGGCAGACCAAACCAGATGAACAAATGACAATGGCATGACATTGCTGGATTATGGTTAAATGAAAATTGCACAGAAGGCAGATTTTATGTCATTTCAAAACATTAAATTATGGAAATGAACTTTTTTTTTTAAATCCACTGCACCAGTGAAAAACTACATGGGGACACTGCAGTGCACTGCATCAAGAACAACTGAATGACAAGATAAATGAGGAAAAAAAACTTGCTCACCTGCTGGTTAGGTCAATTTCTGTTTCCACCCCGCAAATTGCAGAGCAGAATTCCATTGTACATCTAGTGAACCAGACTTTCTGAGCAAACAAACTGGAAACTGCTTAGAAGAAAGTCTGGTTAATGCCTTACCCAATCAGTGATTCTGTTTTAAAATTTTTGCATGATCTTACTTGCATGTAGCTCCTAAATTTGAAATAGGATGCAACTTCAACATCAACCCAGGTTCTGGTTACCTCCCACGTTAATGCTGCATTGTATTTTCAAATAATGAATGACATTTGTCTATTTTAGGTTATTGTGGTATATGAAAATGTATTTGCCCATTACCAGACTTTGAAAATGTATATCTATCTTTATTTTTCAGGAATTATTGCTCAACCATCTGTTTGAAAGACTGGATATGCGACTGTCAAGCTGGCTTAACCGTGTTCCTTTAGATCTTGATTTTCTAGAGTTTATATGTTCTCAGGAGATGGTCATTCTTACAGTAGTGCTATCTCAACCAGCTAGAGATTCCTCAGGACATAATTGATACACTTGGTCATGTACACCAATTGCTCTGCAATGAAAATAAAAATGTTACACAAAGAATTATTGTCGCACACGAAATAGGAAGAATTGGTCGTCCGAGATTATTAATTTCTGAGGAGTACACATTACAACTACCCAGTTTAGGATTACCACTAACTTGCATCGCCCAACTCCTTGGGGTGTCTAGAAGGACATTACACAGACACATGGCCGAATGGGGTTTAACGGTCAGAGGAAGCTATAGCAGCTTGAGTAACGAGGAACTGGATTCTCTTGTGTCAGAGATCCACAACAGTAACCCAAATGCTGGGTATAGGATGATGATGGGTTTTTTGAGAGCTCGGGGACACAGATTGCAGTGGGACAGAGTTCGATCCTCAATGCACAGAGTAGACACTACAAGCATAATCTCAAGGATGTCCCAGCTACGTTGCGTGATCAGAAGAACATACTCTGTCCCGGGTCCAAAGTCCCTGATGCATATTGACACAAATCACAAACTAATACGGTCAGTAATGTTAAAACTGTGTTTTTTTTAGAGATGCACCGATCAGATATCGGCTCCGATATTGACAAATTAGGTGGATATCAGATGAATGTGGCCAATCCAGTCATCTCTGGATTTTTTTTTTATATTGTAATAAATGTACACTTTATTTGTTAAAATATCTTTTATCTATGTTAATTTGTTACCTTTCTTTAAACAAGGCTACTGTAAATCTTTATGTAAAGCTTGATGCCTTTACTCACATGGCAAGGAATGCAGTTTATTCATTCAAAAGTAGTGTTGGATCGGTATCTGCCGATACACATAGCCCTGGTATCGTTATCGGATTGGATTGGAAAAAACTGGATTGGTGCATCTCTAGTTTTTTATTTTGTTTATTTGTGTTTTATGATACATTTTCTTTTGTTTTTCATCATCAAAGGTACAACATTGTCATTTTCGGGGGCATAGATGGCTTTTCCAGAAAAGTACTGACAAGTGTAAATGTATGTTTTTGTTTCATTGACTTGTGGCATGTAACGCATGTTTGACTGACTGCCGACTAAATTGTGGAAAATCTGATATCATTGTAATGTTTACAATAAGACTAGATATCTGCTCATTCTTGATATTTTCTAAACCTTTATATCATATCATATTATTTGTCAGGTTGTTATAGACTTGTAGACTTGAGACCAGAGAGTATCAAGACCAAAACTAGTTCAGCTCAAGACCGAGACCAAAGAAAAACACATTTTTTTTTTTGCCATTTTGCATGAGTTGTAGAACCTAAGCACCATACTGGGTTTGGCTGCTTAGTATAAATATAAGATTGTATTATTCAGTACTTGAATGGGGCATTTCATCGTATATATAAAAACAAACTCTGCCAGTCTGGATATTATAGATTAAAAATCCCTTCGAGACCACTCGGCCAGTCCAAGACATTGCGAGAACAAGAAACCCATGACCGAGACCAAAGACTGCGGTGGGCGTGACAAGACCAGCCCACAAAAAGAAGTGATCTCAAGACCTGTCTTCACTGGTCTGAAGAACTAAAAGTCTAGGTTGTTGTAATGAGATTTAAAAGGATTTTTGTCAAAGGCTCTGCATTTGTACATTTGAATTCAGAAATGCACATATATATAGCATAAATTTTCAATTTTATTGGCAAAATGGTAATAGGACACTTCGACATATACTTGGTTATCTCTATTATTTAATTATTTTAAGTTTGATCTTAATGTAACCTTGTTTAAGTATCTGTTTAAGTACTTGTGAAATGACTTGGCCATATTTGGTATTCTTACATCTAGATCATGTATCTATGGGTCTCAAACAATAATCTGGCATCAACAACCCTGGCCTTCTTCCGTGAAGCAGTAGAGACTTTTGGTTTGCCCTTGAGGTAAAATCTGGTTTTGCTAAAATCAAGTTATGTCTGTTGCTTTAGATTTTACACAAACTATTTAACATAAAGCCTTGATCTGTGTAGATATGACATAACATACTGTTGATTACACATAGTTGTGTATTGTACTAATTGATTACTGTGGACTGTGTGCTTTTCATCAGGGTTCAAGGGGATCATGGTGTAGAGAATGTTGACGTGGCCCGCTTCATGTTCTCGGTTCGGGGAACGGGAAGGAGTAGCTTTATTGCAGGCAAAAGTGTTCACAACCAGAGGCAAGTTTTTATTTATTTATTTTTGATAAGCAGAATCCATCATTCCAAGATAAATACAGTTGTAGCTCCATCTGTTAAAAGCACACTATGCAACATTTTTCAGTTAATTAATGTGTTCCATAACGTTTTGGATGATTAAATGAGTCATTTCAGGTTGAACAAAGGTATTCTCGGCCGCCCTGGTGGTCTGTGGGGGAAATACCGCGCTTGCAATTGCAGGAGCACCGACCCGCACCCACAGGCTCAGAAGTCTCGCGAGAGTCGGTCTTGCTTTATGGCGAGAACTGCTACACCCCCCAGTTAAAAGCATGCTCGTTGCTAGCACAGTGGCGATCTTTGTGCAGTGCTGCTTTCACACCGGACGCAGCAAAATCGTGTCTGCTGCTTCATTTTTACTGCTTGTACCAGTTAGTTCTGACGCGCGGCTGAAGCAGCTTTGCTGCTCTGGCTGCGCGGTGCAAAAGTGTGTCTGACGCGCGTTGGGCGGAGCTTCACTATCCTTTCTCTGCCTTGCAGCTATATTTGCTGTGATCAGTGGGAATAAAGTAGTTTTAATGTTTTTAAGTGAGAAAATACACCTGAAAATGTAATCAGTGCAGTCAGTTCATTCAGATTATCATCCTGCCTTACAACATTTTTTCTGTCGGAGCCGCTCAGACCCCCACATACCAGCGGTGCGCCGACAGTAGGAATCCCTTCATCAGCAGCCTCTGGCCGGGTCGCCTCCTCGCGGTTCACCGCGGCAGCTGGTAGGTGTTTTTCATCTAAATAATCCAAACTGCAGGCAGCAGGATAATAAAAGCCAACATATTCTGCCGGCAGATTTCTGCATTTTAAGTCAATTTAGGCATCAATAAACTGTTTAGGAGGAGTGATCATAGCGCTCTGATCATCAGCGCTGTGTCTCTCTCCCTGCCAGCTCCCAGATCAGCTTCTCTGATTGGTTGACGCGGCGCGTTGAGCAGCAAAAATTCAATTTTTCCATCTCGAGCAGCAGCGCGTTTGCGGCGCGTCAGATGCTTAGTCATTTGTTGCGTTCGCCTGTCTGCTAAGCTCAAAACAACCGCGCCTGGCTTGACGGAGAAACCAGGAGAACAGCTGAGCATATTTACGACAGTCCACTTTTACTTTCGCCCTCTGGGGGGAGCCTCGCTGGAAAATCAACACCGGTTGCATAGTGTACCTTTAAGTTTATCATCAGAGTTAGCAGTTGTTCATGTACTGTATTGTCACGCAGAAGACTTTTAGTCATATTCTTTGTGGTATGTAATTTCTGTTGGTACTGTATGTGCTGACAAACCATATATGCTTCAAACAGAATAGAACGGTTGTGGAGAGATGTATTCACCGCCGTCACCAGCCGCTTCTACCATGTCCTGCACCAGCTCAAAGAGGAGGGCCATCTCGATCTGTCCAGCAGCCTACACATCTTTTGCTGCCATTATGTCTTCATTCCCCTCATTCAACAGCATCTCAACATCTTCAGAGATGGCTGGGATGACCATCCCCTTTCAACAGAAGGGAACCTCTCTCCCAATCAGCTATGGTATTTGGGGCAGCAGCATCATTCCCAGGAGTGTGATGATCAGGTTGGCTTGTGTACTGTACAAATATTAGAGCTGTTAGATATTTTATTTTCTACATGATTGTGTCTTACTTTTCCTACAGGATCTACATATTCCACTAATAGATTGGGATAGCAGCGGCCTCATACCCCGTGAGCCCAACTCCGGCATCACCGTACCCGAGATTGAATGTCCACTGAGCCATGAAGAACTTGCTGGCTTGATTGCGGCTGTGAACCCAGTGGGATCATCAAATCTTGGTGCTGACATTTATTTAACAACACTGCAGTACTTGCAGAGCATTGGCTACATGTAACCTTCGTAGTAGTTTTGATGATGTATAACAGAAGACAAAGACATCTCATCTTTTTTGATGGCATTTCATTTTTTTATTCATGTTTCAAATAAGTTTGTTGTGAACAGGTAAAGAGCATTGTAAAACACAACTGTTAAGACATTGAAGTTACGCTTTTGCAGCAGCCTGAGAGGTCTAGCAATTATTTGTGCCAGATATTCAACTGAGTGACATTCTGAATAATTCAACATTTTATAAAGGTGAACAGTAATCTGAAAGTCAAATATGATCTATTGTCATGTTTTCAAAGCTTTTGTAACTTTGTTGATGACCGAGAAGGCTCATTTAAAGCTTTGTTTCATAAAATGGTGTTTACATTAAACCTTTGTAAAGTATTAAGCCTTTTTTGACATTTTATATACATTGCCAATGTAATTAGTAATGGAGACTCCACACTCACCATTTTGAGATACTGCTATAATTCTATCTTTTCCATTGTTTAGATGGAATTAATAAAGGTCTAAAGTATAAAAATGAAACATCAAACAACACTGCAGATTAATGAACAGATTAACCATATTTTAATTGGAATTCCTTTAACTAACTGAACTTTGGTGCTGAAAAACATTTGATGTAATGTGGCCTAACAACATAATGCAGCCAAACATGCTGTCATGTTTTAGAGTTCAAATTAGTCCAAAGCCAGAGTCATTAGTTGCAATGCAACTCTCCAAACTGTGTTGGAATTGGTCATAAGTTGTGTAGTGACTAGGCAAACGTAGGATGTGAAAGCAAGTGGAAGATGTTGGATGGTCTGCCTGTACCACTTTCACTTGCATGTCCTGCATGGGCATCTCCCAGCCAACCCAGAATTTCACCAACTGCTTCCGTTTGTTTTCCGTCACTAAAAGGCAACAAATGACACAGAGAATATATGTGTTAACTGAGCAGAATTGTGATTCAGAACAAATTTTCAATATCTAGATTGTTAGCAAAGGTTTTCTAAAACACATTTTATTCTTGTTCATTATCGAGTCCTATTGGAATCTTCGTAGGCAGGTTTAAAAGTAATTTCAAACAGTTTAAAATAAACGTGTAACAATTCTCTGAATACAGCATCTATTCAAAATAAACCTGTGCATTGTGACAGCACATATTCCAAAAAATGTATACCTTTCTCCACAAATTGGCGCAGGTAGCCAGCAACTAAGGATTTGGCAGTAACTGAGCATCCATCCTCATTCTGCTCCCCCTCTTCAGGCCAGATTATGTTTTTAAGGACCATCTTCATGAAAGTAAAAAAGCGAGTGTGATCTCAAGTAACAACAGTATAAAAGTCAAACAGTTCTATTTGAATCCTAAACAAAATACCTGGGCACTACATTCAGCCATCTTCTGACATGGGAAAATCACAGCTGCAACATCTGGCCTGGCCTCCAATAGTGGCAACAACATCGACTCTTGCAGGCCCTGCCTCAGCTGCCGGATTTGTTGTGAGGTTCGCTCAAGCACCTAGATAAATATTTAAAATATTTAATTGTCAAGGAGTAAACACTGTTCCTCAATGAGATCACACACCCTGCATATCAAAGAAATATAGAACAGCCTATTATTGTAAGCAAACAAAGGAAAAAGAAGAATTACTATGGTACACTGGAGTAGCCTAATCTCTTTAATGTTGAATGCATGTGTTGTCTGTGCTATAAGCTTAAAACACGAGGGAATGCTCACTGTGGTTGAGTGTAGGGATTTAGCGATATGAAAATTTTGTATCACAATTATTGTGACCAAAAGGATCACGGTTATAATTTTTATCACAGTATTATAAAAAAATACCCCTCAGCATCTTTAAAAATATCCAAAATGGATCTAAATGTCTAATTTGTCCTTTTTAAAGAGGGAAAAAATCCAAAGAGAACTGTCCATGTGCAGCCTTTGTTGTCTTTCACCATGCTTTCATAAATTAAACATTGCAAATTGCGACTATTACTGCTTTTCTAGCTAATGAGCATCATCACTGGGAGTTTTTCATAGCGCATTAATCAGGCACGGTTTTAATGATAATTAAAATTTGAAACAGTATTACTAATCGTTGGTAGTTTTGTCACGGTTAACCATTTTACTGGTAATCGTTACACCCCTAGTTTAGTGAAAATAATGCAATCAAAACACTGCCTATTAGGTTATATTTATGATTTCTTGACATATCCTTTATTTTCTTATGTCCAAGAGTTTAACCTAAATCCTAAAATTAGACAAGGCCTGACAAAGAAAATAATCACTGCCACAACTTATTATTAATAACCACCTGTTGCTCATTGACCTCACCGCATGTTTAAGAAGACTTTGTAAAAGCCAGGCACGGTTGGTTTTGGTCAATACAGTCCCAAGATAAAGCTAGGTGATCAACAGCTGCTTTTTGGTCCTCCGTGAGAGTGCGGACGTCTCTCTTTTCATCATCTGTAGTGAGCTTAATGGGAAAAAGTTGAGACCATATACTTAAAGGTATAGTCCGAAGTTGCCCCCTTAAAAAATAAACGTTAGACTTAAGGAAGTGAAATCCATCTCAAAACCCGCCTTTGGGCCTCTACTCCCGTGCGGTGGTGCGCTTGAACGCAACTCTCTCTCCCCCTGCCTGTAATTCGCTGTTTTTTATTGTTTTGGTCTGGTCGGGACGTTTCTGGGTGGAGATTTCTGTTTATATCGGCAGCCAATGACAGAGCTAAGAGCATGACGCTGTGTGGAAATAAGCTCATGATTGGAGCAGATGCCAGTCACTCGAACTCTCAAAGGAAAAAAAAGAAAGACAGAAAACACTGTGGATGCACCGAAGAAAAGGTAAGAGCTTCAGATAATGCAGTTTGGAAAGCCAGAGTTAATAATAGTTTGGCTTTTACCCGCTACTGAGCTCTGAAGGAGAAGCTTGAAGTTGAATAGGCTAGCTAGAACGAGGCGGCCATTTGCCAGAGAGGGAGGAGCGCAAATTTTGAATACTGTTGTTTGCAAACAGAAACGCTGGACTGGAGGGACTTCGGACTCTACCTTTAAATACAGAAAGATGTGCATCTTTTCTGGTGAAGCATACATCATGTTACAGTTTCAACCTACCAGCTCTATTGTCTCTCGGATGTCAATGTATGCCACATCTTCCAGCACAATGGGTGCTGTCTCAGTGGAGCCTCCCAGCAACACATGCAAGATTGCAGGACTGATGCCTGTTAGAGGAGGACCACCATGGAGAAAAGAGTGGCCTATCATCCTTCCTGCCATCTTGAACAAGTCACTTTGTACAAGCACTTTTGAGGTGGAAGGAATGAGATGGTCAGGTTGGCCCTCAAAAAGTAAAGTTCCAGTTCTATTTCCTGCATGAACAAAGAAAAAAAGCACAAGCTTGAGATGTGTGTACCGGTACTATGGGAAAAAGAAGGGCATCAATTGATTCCTTAGGCAACAAGGAATTAGCCAGGTCATGTTAAAATTTGCTGTGTGTTGTGCATTTTGTTATGCATATGAATTTTTGGTTCAGCGATATGCATGTTAAAACCCATGTGCCATATAGGAGAAAAAGAGGTGGGGAGGGGAGACTACACATCCAAGAGACTTACCAAAATCCTTGGAAAATCCAGTTTGCAACTTGTGCATCAGTAGGCTGAAGAAATGGCGTTTTACACCCTCTCCAATTGCTACATCACCTGACAGAAACCAACAAAAAACAGGTCAAGTTGTACTTGAGGCTAAAGAAAGCTTTAGTTGGCAGATTTGTTTATAATTTAGCAAATAAATTAAAATTAAAAGGAAAATACTGATGGCTGTTTGTATGAAGTTACCTTCCAATCTGCAATGGAGTGGTCTGGCCCAGTCTACTTTATGGACCTTGTAAAAGTTGATTAGTCTCTCCTCCTGTTCCTCAACATCCTCTCTCAAGTCGAGTTTTACTTTCAGGATTGGCTCGTCTTCTTTCTGCTCCAGTAAATACTTCCTGTACAGGACTAAAGCCCTTTCTGGAGCTTCAACTCTTCTCCAGGCTGTAAAAGGTTAAACTGTAATTACATTCCAATCAAAAGGAAACACACTCATTGTGTTGCTTCTAATGCATGTATTAGAATTATCTGACCTATATATATATATATATATATATATATATATATATATATATATATATATATATATATATATATATATATATATATAAAATATAATATATATGAATAAAGAAAATGTAATGAAAAACACACCATCATTTACTGCAGGTGATGGCCCCAATGGTCTGCTTTGTGGTGTGTCGAATGCTAGACTAAAGTTTGAAGTGCTAGCAATGCTGCTTTCGGTGGTACTGCTGTCCATGGGAAACCCCGGTGATACACTTTGGTCTGATGGAACTGATGTAACATGTTCCATCAGAGGGCTAGATGACATAACATACATTTTAATATTCATATTGAATTAGTAGCAAATTAAAGAACTGCTTCAGTTGAATGCACAGTTCAATTCATGTATGTTTGCAATTAATGAAAAACAGATAACACAGGTGCACTCAAATAAAGAAACAACAACGGTTACAGACAGAATCCAACCTTTCTCCACAAAAACTTGCATGGAGAGGCATCATCTCCGGAGAGAACTTCTCTCCGCATATGGGGCAGGCATCCTGTAGTGTGACAGTCAGTTCAACATTTTAAACCATCATTAAGTGACACTGAAATGACAGATTTCTTGAGGTTAAAATAATGTTTACATCACAAGGTCTCCAATCAGTGAAATCCACCTTCTACGTATCTGTGACAAATTGTGGATACCTTCATAGTAGTTTCTGACTTTTGTCAATTTCTGTCTAAATGATTGCTTACCATACAAATGATATCTTCCTCCTGGTCATTTTCCGCTATCACTACAGGTTCCACATTCTGCATTCAAAGGACAGGCAAACATTATATAGCCTGGTACACCAGCCTGACTATCACCATGTATGAGATGCACGGCAAGTCAGTCTGGGTTCCTCCGCTGGAGACTGATTTCCAATGCGAGCGAGAGGCGAGACTAATAGGAACAAACTGAACTGGAGAAAATCAGTCAGAGGCACCCGGAAGTGACGTAAACATCTTTTTGTAAGAGGAAAGCCCTCAGAGCAGCAAGATAATGTGGTTTTAAGGACATCTGCACCTCATTTGATACAACAGAATGGCATTGTTATATAGTCGCTCCTCTGCGGCCGCCATTCTTACTATTTTTGGTTATTTATGGTTATCTAAAGATATGTATGTTAGGTAAACAGGTCTCCCTTGAAAAAGAGACTGCGATCTCAATGGGACTTACCTGTATAAATATAGGTAATGTTAAATAAAAAAAAAATAAAAAAAAGAACTAAGCTGCCGAAAAAGATTTATTGCAAAGTCCCGCCTTCTGTGCTGTGATTGGTCCAGTCAATTTTTTACCGGAGTGGAAATCACTTTCCAATCAAGGAACCCAGACTTTATTTATTTATTTATTTAATTTATTTCGAACAGACAGTAAAAACAATCAAGAAAGAAAAAAAATTTGAATGAAACAAACTTAAGAATGAAAATATAAAACAAATTATTTTGCCCATGTGACATGTAAATTTTATATTTTCTGTTCGAAAAGGAGCAGGTAGAAGATACATCTTATAATGTCCTGCCCCTTTCCTACTTGTCAATTTATCCTCAATTAAATGTCAAAACATCAAAAAACCAAAAAAAACACTTGTTTCCATTCCACATGATGTTTAGCCATGTACAATTATTTTAAGTACTATTTATGTCCTCAATTACATTATAGACTATTAAACAGTCATCTTATATAGCGTATTTTGAAATGAGCTCGGTTTTAATCAGTTTATTAAATTGGTTTGCATTTTTTATTTTTTTAAACTCGTCATTCAATCCATTCCAGACATTTACTCCACACACAGATAAACAAAAACTCTTCCTGGTTGTTCTAAAGTGTTGTTTTTTAAAGTATCCTTCACTTTTTAGATCATAACCCCCTTCTCTGTCACCAAACATTTCCTGTATATTGTGTGGAAGTTTTTGATTTCGGACCTTAAACATGAATTGTGAAGTTCTAAATATTACCAGGTCCCAGAATTTCAGTATATTTGATTTGATAAATAACTGGTTTGTGTGTTCCCAGTATCCCACTTTATGTAGTATTCGGATTGATTTCTTTTGTAAAACGTATAATGGCTATAAATTTGTTTTGTATGTATTCCCCCAAACTTCCACACAATATGTTAAATGTGGTACAATGAGTGTGTTGTACAAAATAAACAAAGATTTGTAGCCCAGGACGAAACTAATTCTTCTTATAACAGCAACATTTTTGGCTATTTTAGATTTTACTAGGCTGATCTGAGGTTTCCAGCTAAACGTATCGTCTAATATGACACCCAAGAATTTTATTTCATGTACTTGTTCTAAATCAACACTTTCAATTGATATTTTAATTGGTTTATTTTCCTGTTTTTTATTGTTTCTGAATATCATGAATTTGGTTTTATCTAAATTTACTGATAATTTATTGTTTTTGAGCCAATGCTGTAATTTTTCCATTTCTGTGTTGACCACTTCTGAAAGTTGTTGAAGGTTTTCTCCAGTACAGAAGATACTTGTATCATCAGCAAATAGAATGTACTTTATAAGGTTTGATATTTTAACTATGTCGTTTATATACAGATTGAACAGTTTGGGTCCCAAAACTGATCCCTGCGGAACTCCACAAGTTATTTTTAGTAGATCTGATTTCTGACCATCTATTTCTACAAATTGTTTCCTTTCTCCAATGTAGCTCCTAAGCCAGTTTAATGCCACCCCTCTAATTCCAAACCTTTCCAGTTTTTTTATTAACATGTCATGATTGATGGTATCAAAAGCTTTTTTTGAGATCCAGAAATGCAAATTTCTTTTTATCCATATTGTCTGTAATTTCTTCTGTTAATGCCATCAGTGCCATTGAAGTGGATCGGTTTTCTCTGAAACCATATTGGCAATCTGTCAAAATGTTTTGTTTTTCAATGAAATTATCTAACCTTTTACTAAACACTTTTTCTAGTATTTTTGAAAATTGACACAGAAGGGGCACAGGTCTATAATTACTAATAGTATGCTTATCTCCAGATTTAAATAGAGGAATAACCTTCGCTATTTTCATTGCATTTGGAAATGTTCCAGTTATGAATGACAAGTTGCAGATGTAAGTTAGAGGATCTGCAATGTCATCAATTATCTTTTTTATAAGTGACATGCTAATTTCATTACAGTCCGTTGATTTTTTATTGTTGCATTGATTAACTATGTCCTTAATTTCTATTTTATGTACTGGTTTCAGGTACATAGATGATGCATTTTGTTTAGTACAAATTTCCAGTGTGTCCACATCCAGTGGATTTCATTTATTTATTTGTTCTGCTAACTTAGGCCCTACATTTACAAAATATTCATTAAATCCATTTACTATCTCAACTATTTCAATCAGGTTTTTGTCATTATAAGTAATACAGTTGGGGTGAGTAGTGTTAGAAGAATTCTTTCTTATCAAGCTGTGTAACGTTTTCCATATCCCTTTAATGTTTTGTTTATTATTTTCTAATATTTTAGAATAATAATCTTTTTTACATTTTCTCATAATAATAGTTAATTTATTTTTATAAGTTTTATATTTTTGCTCTGCTTCAATCGTTTTATATTTTATAAATTGTTTGTATAGATTATTCTTTTTCTTACATGCATTTTGTAATCCTTTAGTAATCCATGGCTTATATTTGTTTTTTTTGCCTGTAATTACAAGGTACAGTTGGACAGTTTTTATTATAAAATGCTTTAAATATTTTGATAAATATCTCAAAAGCCTTATCAATATTTTTTTCTTCATACAGCACTTTCCAGTTCTGTGATTGTAAATCGTTTCTTAATGCTCTTATTCAGTCTTCTGATATTATTCTTTTGTAAGTGATGTTGGTACCCTTATCTATTTTTCTGCAAACCTTTTCTAGGATAACAAACACTGGAAGATGGTCACTGATGTCATTTACAAGAAGTCCACTTCTCAATTTACTTTCCATGTAATTAGTAAATATATTGTCAATCAGGGTTGAACTGTGCGTTGTTATTCTACTTGGTTTAGTAATTAATGGATATAAACCTAAACTATGCATAGTGTCGATAAAGTTAGATGTACTTCTAACCTTATTTGGATCCAACATATCAATATTAAAGTCTCCACAGATGAAAATTATCTTTTGGTTTATCTTAGCAAACAATGTTTCCATGTAATTTGTAAAGACTTCAGTGTCAGATGCTGGTGCTCTATACACACAGCTGACTATTATATTTTTCTGCTTCTCAAACTGGATTTCAATAGTAATGCATTCCATCACTTCATCAACTGACACTGACAGTTTTTCAACCACCTTATATTTGAGTTCATTTTTTATGTACAACGCTACACCGCCACCTTTTTTATTCTTTCTGTTTATATAATTAAACTCATACCCTTCGAGTGGGAAGTCTGCTCCCCTCTCAGAGGTGAGCCAGGTTTCTGTTATTGCTATGACGCTGAATGACTTTTTTAGTTGATATAAATACTCTTTGATATTTTCATAATTAGCATAAAGGCTACAGCTATTGAAGTGAATAATTGACATTTCTTGATCTGAATTAAAGCATTGGCTATAGTTATCATCAGTGTAATAATGACAATTGTCAGTCAAATAATCAAGGAAATTGTTGTCTGGGTCAATATCTGTGTCTATATTCATGTGTAAATTTACATTTTATTACTGGATTTTCTGAAAGTTGATCAGAAGTTGCCTGTTTGTCCTGTTTCACTGATATTTATCCAACTCTTCAATTTGTCTAATGATCAGTACCTTGGCTTCCTCTGGTAAACCGTTTAATTTGATATAAACCCTGCAGTTTGAGGTCCATGTTGACTGTATTTTCTTTTGTTTCCTGAGAAAACGTGCTTGTCTTGCTATATCTGCGTTAATTTTTCATTTATATAAACATTGGACCCTTTTAATTTTCTCCCTTGTTTTAGGAATTCATTTTTGTGTTTTCTGTTTGTAAACCTCATTACAATAACAGGTTTAACTCCTTTGTTTTTTTTTGTGGAAGTGGATGGCACGCTTCAATGTCATTATTATCAATGCTGATGCCCTTGTTACTAAAGAATGACATTACGTGTTTTTCAAAAGTTCCTTGCTCTTCGTCCCTTTCTTCAGTATTGTTTGCTGTGTATCTCATACATGGTGTTAGTCAAATTGGTTTGCCATGCTATAAATTATAAGACCCAAAATTACATATAATCTAGCCTTCACAACACTGAATCACTTTACTTACATCATCACACTGACAAGACTCGAGGTGAAAAGGTAGCAGCTGCAGTGGAACTGATGCACCGCAGGTCATGCAGTAATTTTTCGGCATATTCTCGAATTCTGGTGCATTGTATGGTAAAGGGACAATGTCTATCTTTTCTTGTAATGGGACGATATAGATGGTAATCTTCCCATTGTTGGAGGAGGACTTCAGTATTTTTGATGTGTAACCCACTGAGGACTGGGGTAGCGGAGTGGTTTTCCTTTGGCCATTCCCACCTTAAAAAGTACAAAACATTCATGGAAAAATTTAAATATTGTATATTATACTATTAAATATCATAATGTTATATATCGTTGTATTTTTTTCAAATATTGTCAAAAATGATACACTGTATGGTTATTTGTTCAACAAACATGGCATCATAGTCTCACCAGTGGCTTTTTGAAGAAGCCAGCCACCACGTAACTGTCGCAGTTTTGGGTATTCTTCAAGGAGAACTTTGGTTATCTATAAAATAAACAGACCTGGCTTAAATTCAAGTATGTAATAACCCTATACCTTATAATGGTATATGGTATATTTTAGAGATGTCCCGATCAGATTTTTTTGTTTTGCCACGCAGTCATTTGATTTTGAGAAGGGGTCGATACTGAGTCCTGATCTGATGCTTCTACAATACAATAAAAATTTAAGAAAAAAAAAATTAAAGGACAGTGCTTCCCCAACAAAATCTTGTAGATTTGGTGATATCACTGGTCAGAGAGGGGTGTCATATCATATCATCACACTGTGCATAAATGATCCCAAACTGTGGGGTACTTGTAAAACAATTGTGCTAAAATAAATAATAATATAGATGCCAAAATGAATGTTCTAATACAGGGAGATTTATCTGTGAAGTTGATGCATTTATTTTCTAAACAACTACATTATAACTCATGCCATATAAAAATAAATATTTGGCATTTTCTCATTAAAAGAAGCAAATTTTGGGATTGCAGTTGTTTTGATGAAATGGTGAACTGAATCCACAAAAAAAACACTTTATCCTCATTATTTATGAAGTTTATGATCTTTAAAGCCTTCTGGCTTATTAGGTTTGTGTGCACCACGTTCGGGTGTTCTGTCAAAAGATGGTACTTTTGTTGCGCCACAGTTTTGTTCCGACCCTTGCAGCACATCAGCTCACACCTTGAGCGTTTGGGAGAGGCCACCGCTCTGCACAATGTGTCCATATGCAGAGCAGATGGCTGGCAGCGCTTCTGCAGGTGGAGGCGGTAATGCAGCTTCAATTTAGGGTGCTTTCACACCTACCTGGTTTGGTCTGGTAAAAGTGGACTGGGGTCCGAACACCTGCAAGTGCGGTACGTTTGGGCAGGTGGGAAAGTAGACCAGTTTGTTTTGGTCCGGACTAAAGAACCGCACCGAGAACGACCTCTGGAGGTGGTCTCTGTACGGTTCCATGCAGACTCCAGTATGGTTCACTAATGGTGAGAACACTGCGCAGCCTCGATTTGGCCCATTTACAACAGTTCACTTCATCCTACATGATAAATTAAACAGAAGATACTGGAGAAATCGCAGGAGACACGCATTTCCAAAATACAAGATGGGTCAGGAGCTAAGCCCATTTGCTGATGGTGTCTTGCAAAACATCTTCTCCTTGGGGACAAAAAACACTTGCAGTGTTCTCGTGTCATATGCGAGTTTCATGCTGGAGCAACAGCAGTATCTGTGCGGCTTCATAAAGCAATGCTGATAATATATCACCACAATAACAAGCAGAAGAACATAACACAGCCCGATTTTTTTCTTCCAGGATTTTCCTTCTTCGCCATCGTTTCAACACAAAACAGTATTTTCTGAACAGCGCCAGCACATGCCTGGAGGATATAATCCATAGCAGTTGTTTTGTTTGCAGAAACACTGGTGTGAATGTCAACCAGACTAGTTGAGAACTGCAACATTGTTACAACTTTTGGGCCAACCAGACCATCTACTGGACTAAGAGGTGTGAGAGCACCCTTAGAAATGTTGATGTCATCCATGTGAAACATTTGCATTCGGAAGACATGTCACTAACATTGCGATGGCGGCCGCTGCTGCCGGGTCAATGTAAAGGAAACAGATCCAATCCCTGATCGGGATGTGAAGATTCTGATAAAGGCCAAAACCACATGATCGGCCCCAATTTCTGATCTGGTGATTGGATTGGGACATCCCTAGATATATTTCTGACAGTGACATGTGGAATGTGAGTTAGGGTTTTTAGGTGCTTATAGAGCAAAATGAACGAGTTTGTTCTAGGAACAAATTCTAGGAAAATTGCCCCTTGTTATGTGAAATTGAGTATACAATATTAATCTTTCATGTTAAGTGGTTGTAATTCAAAACATTGTCAAGTGTTTTTCTCTCAGATCTTGTCACTTTCTAACAATTTCTTGCAACACTATAACAAAGTTATGAAACAAATGAGGAATCCTGTAAATACATAAAACTGGAAAACACTGAGGGCTAAGAAAAATATGTATTCTATCAATTCTCCACAATTATTCATGTGTCATGTTATAAAAATTGCATTACCTCTGCATGATCAGCATCATCTGCAAGAGTTACAGTTCTCCTTCCTAATCCAGCTTGCAGGAGCACTGTTTCGTCTCTTGGAGTCCTGGTTGAATTTTCCGGTAACAGGCAGAACTGGAGTTCTAACAAACGTGAACATGTTGGCCTTGTTGGTTCAAGTGCTTTCCTTTTAAAACGTGCCCGGTTTCTAGTAAACATGGCAGGAAAAGACCTTGAAATAGGAAGATGAGATATTAGGACAACAGATGGATCAATAAATAAATGTGGCTAAATTTTTCCTTTGTGAAGTACAAAAAACGAGAAAGAATATTACTAGAATATAAAAAGTTACCGAAAATCCCAGTGTAAATCTAAATCTGTATCACTGTGATGTTTGCACAATTTTCAGAGGATTAACTACATGGATAAAGTGTGTCCAAGCTTTTGACAAGAAATGTATGACTTTACTTTACTTAAACAGTCCATTCATAAAATCTTGAAATGGGGCTTTCATTATCATTTTCATTGTTTCATTGTTCCTTACCTTTGCATCTCCTGCTGAACTGTGTTTTGTCTAACAGGCTGGTTAGTAGAAGACGTACTAGGGGTGCAAGCCTGAGTTTCCGTAGACCGAACTGATCTTTGTGAACTGCTTGACCGTTCCACATTGCTAGCGGAATGTTGCATTGGACGTCTTCTAATGCAGCTGAGAATATTTCTCACAGCAGTTTCAATATCTGCATTCTGTTGATCCTAGCAAGGCATAAAATTAATCATTAAGGCTTTTACGTCCCTAAACGTAATAACTCATTTCTCAACACTTAGCAATGCAACATTAATGTTGTAGGCAAATGTGTCAGGCTAGCAGTGTTCAGCTTAAGTCCATCTACTTCACTCTGTAATGAACTAATATTTGATAGGTTTACTTCAGCATGTCCAAAAATAAGTAAAACATATACAGGGTCTACTACAGGTCTATTATAACAGTTATTACTGTTGGGATAATTTTTCACGAGTGCAATGGCTTTTGAAAAAGAAACTTTAAGCAGTTGTTTAACATCCATAATTAGAGGTGCAAGATCATTAGCGGTCCGATAACAGGAAATTATATCATTCCGATTAGTCCGATATCATGACAACTTACCCTGATAACATTTATATTATTTTTGTCAGCACAATAGTGCTCTGCTCACATTATAAGACCACAGTTATTGTTGTTTAAAACTGCTCATATGTACTCAAACAGGTCTGACCTGTCAGTCATAATTTTTTTACAAATAACATTTTTTAGATTGTGTTAACATACAATAAATGTTTGAATCTAACTTGTCAGCATCATTTACTATAATTTTTTTTTTTTTATCAGACTTTTTCAGTTTGAAATCCCGATGGATGTACCTGCATCAGTTCAAGGAGCCTTAATTTTTGTATCAGTAAACAATGCACCTTATTTAAGTTGATGTGCATTTGAGATATCAAATAGTTTGACATCTTTTAGAAAATGTTTGAGAGGCTTGCTGATAGTTTTTCTCTGTAAAAATAAATATTTCTTCATTTAAAGAATGAAAAGTCTTTTTGGCTTTGTTAACAGTATTGATATCATGATTAGGTATGTATGTGTGTTATCGGTTATCAGCTATCGGTATTGGCCTTTAGGAGCTGAAATATATCAGTTAATCAATATTGTTTTTTTTTTTTATAAGTTATCATGCATCCCTATCCATAATAAAATGTTTAAATGACAGTGAGTTTCAAAATACCGGTACTGCGTAAAATCTATATTCTCTGTAGTTTTCGTTTAATCACACATAATTCAGCAATATCATGCAAATATTGTGATGTTGTAAAACTTGAATTTGGATTGACATTAGAGATCATTGAAGTTATAACGTTGTTTTTGTTTATTGTTATTATATTATTAGAGTATCTGTGTGAACTATCTCACCAGTACAGAGTAATCACAGCCACAGCTGTTTCACTGTTTAATTACCTTTCCATTTGACAATAATCCCCCCCCCCCAATGTATTTACAGTAAGCCCCATAAACAGAACATCTGTCACTGATCAAACAGGTAAACTTTTTAAATCCATAGATCACATGTAAAACCAAATCAGCTGCAATATAACGTTTGATATTAATCTGATTTTAACAACAAGCATTAATTGTATTTATCTAATGAGCTCTCTGGCCACACATACAGGAAGGTGAACAGGGAGGCTGCAGTGACGTCCAAACGACCGATGCAGTAAAGTCTACCTGTGGTACCACCCGCTAGCTTGTGGTACCACCAGCTGAATCCTGCAACCCGCTCGCCCTACAGAACCGAATTCCCTGATCGAAATGAATCTAGTAAATTGAAATTTGGGTAGTATGCAGGGCTAGTTTTTGGTTATATTTGTCATTTAAAACCTGATATCTCATTTGACTCCTGATGCAAGCTAGCTAGCCATCGACGTAATAAAACCAGAGTCCATATTCACTCGAGCTTCGTGTAATTTTTATCAGTTCGATTTAAACGTGTTTATTTACTCCTACAACATAGAAAGGATGAGTCAAAACGATGTTTTTGTGAAGCAACTTGTTGCGCCATAGCAGGCAGACGTCCGAAGTGGCTTCGCTCACTCCACTCTTCACTCTGATTGGTTGACCTATGATGCCCCAGCAGGTTCACTGTGATTGCTCTCACATCTTCAAACACAAGTTCGTTTTGGCACAAATATCTCGCAAGGAATGTGACAAAAGTCAGAGCGCGGTGTCAACGCGCTGTGTCTCGCGAGAGCGCGTTTGTGTTCTTGCAGCAGCAGATTCAAGAAGCTGTTATGGCTAAATTGAGGTTGTAATGCAAGATTAACATATGCAAAAAAATAATTATAATTACAAATAAACTATCAATAATCATTTGTCAGCTGTAATTTTATTTGTGTAAAACTATATGAACCAGTAAACATTTTTTTGTGCATTCACATTTAAATCAGATTTGAGTGCAACTTCAAATTCAGTTTGTGTGTGTACGATTTTTCTTTAAAGCAAAACATTTTGGCATACAAGTTCGGATTTTTGTGGTACAAATTCTGACATTGCATTCTCAAGTTTTCACATTAAATTCACAAGTTCGTTCATTTTGGCACATATTTACCTTCATACAGAACAAATTGATCTCTTCATCATGATGAGAGTGGATGTTCTTCTGGAGGTTCTTGTAGGGCTTTAGCCCCCTGTTTCTCTTCAAAGGAGGATCATCGCAGTCAGAATGAACATGATTCTCACAACAAAAGGCCAGACAGATGAAACAGAAGTTGATGGCTTTCATTTTTTCTCCAGTGCAGAAATCACAGGCCACATATTCTGATCCAGCATGGCAGTTATCAGCAAGAACAGCTTGGAGTTTGATCTTCTTCAGCAGCTCCACTACATCTGTTAGAGGTGTGGTTTTCTCTGAGAAACCTGGGTTGAAGGTTTTCCTGCACTGAGGACAGCTGTGGATTCCTTTCTCCTCCTCTTCTTCCCAGTGGGTTTTAATACACTTTATACAGAAGTTGTGTCCACAGGGAATAGGTACCAGATACTTCAGTAGATCAAAACAGATCAGACAGTACACATCTTCTTTGTCCGTCCAAACTCTCTTTTTTGCCATTTCAGGTCTAAGAAGTAGCAACTATGAGGTTTACCTCTTTGAGAAAGAAATCTGCCTGAACTCAGAAGTTCTGCTTGGAGTAGGGAGTCTGTCAGCTCTTAAGTACTTGAAGGTTCCACCCCTTGTACCTCCCATTCTGAAGGGAAGGCAACAAGTACTACACATAAAGCAGGAAAAGGAAGGAGAGGTGTTAGTTTCAGTAAAAGCCATAAAAACAGCTTGATTAAAGATTCTAATATTTGTTTTGGTATTTTATGAATTTTTTATATTTCAAACCTATTTGAGCATTTTAAAATTTCTTTTAATTAACTAAAATGGTGAAATAATTATAACTTTCATATTACTTAATAAATAACACTTTTTATTTGGAGACAAAGGTATATTACAAGTTGATGAAGATAAAAATATAGTTAATTAATTCTTCAATGTTAGAAACTTAATATTGTTGCTTTGAAATGTTTTTTGCAGGGAGATATTCTATGTGGGTCATTGAGCTTCAGTCTCCCTTTGTTTATTACAACTAAACTTCTCTGCTGTTTTCTGTTAGATCAATGAAATACTGTCTTTTTCAGGATTCAAGTTGAACATCTGCATCAAATAAGGAGACAATTCAGTGTCAGCATTTTCTTTTTTTTTTTTTTGAGAAAGCTAGTTATAGTCAGTTACTGATTAGGAAACTATTGGTTCCTTTGTAACTACCTGATATGATGCTTGACTCAACACAGTTTATTCAGAACCAGCACTGAACTCTTCTACTCCTATTTTGCAGTAGCAAACCAGTGGTCCTCGAATAAGTACTGGTTAACTACCCTTTAGTTCCATATTAGTTCCTCTTGTGTTTCCTTATTAACTACAACATAGATTAGTTCATCGGTCCGTGTACTTTCAGGCAATTCGTTTTTTGTGTCCTTTGTAATTTTGCATTAGTTCCTGCTTAGTTACTTCTGTTTCCAAGATAACTAAGCAGTAGCCCACTAATAAGGCTGTGTGCCCCAGTAAGTACCGGTTAACTACCCATGAGTTCTTTTTTAGAACTTTAGGCATTGTGTAGCAGGTCATCAGATTTGTTGTACATTATTGTAAACTATTACCGATATATGTGCAACTGTAGAATATTCGGGATTGAACAATTTGTATTGCAAGTCAGAGATAGAAATAGCTTTTATGTGGATCTATAATTAGTTACAGCTAAAGGTTTGTAAGTCTTATATGGTGCACCTTGACAGAATTTGTTTACATTTAATATTTACATAAAGTTGCATAAAATGCAAAGACACTGTATCACAAATTATTATCCTGTGAGATCATTTAACCCTGAGAGCTGGTTCATTTTTTTTTTTTTTTATCTATATACTTTTGTTTTGAAATTAACTCAAATGCTAAACCCTATGAAACAAAAATTGATCCTAACATCCATGTGGAAAGTAAGAAACACCTGATGCCCCAGAAGGAACCTCTCCTGAAGATGGTAAAAGAATGCTTACTTTATAAACAGTCATAAGGAGGCAATTCAATTAAAAAAATATTTTTTTCTATTTGACAATGTTGAGATATTTTAGAGAAATTATACTAATGATTTATGTGATTGAGAATACTGTGTGATGCATATACTAGTAACAAAGAGTTTCAATTCTATCAACCTGCATCTTTGTTTCACTTCTGGAGAAAAGAAACTACTCTGAGTTTTGTTTAACAAATCAGGTTTTGTTTGCTGACACATCTCTCATCAGATTTAAGATCTTGAAGGAAAAGGAATTATAAATTATAATCCTTATAAATTACAACAATTTTTAATCAAGTTTGGGCCCAAAGTATAATATGTGTGTCACACTTTACAGTTACACAATCGATTAACTACTAAAGAATGCCTACAGAACTGATAAGGAGTGGCCAACCAGTACATAATGGAGCACACCCAGCCCAGCGTTATTATGGGACTACTATGGTTACCTGAGAAACAGAGTCCCTAAGCAGGAACGAATTTGTATTTTCACTTCAAATAATTGATTACACAAAACAGTTGCTAATGGTCAACTAACTTAGTAACTAACTGATATGATGCTTGTCAACAGAATCCATAAAAAAATTGCTAGTCAATAATTTTATACTCTG